ATTAGCTACAAGGTTTGTGAATTTTAAAATGTGTGATAAAGACTTGGCAAGCAAAATTGAATAGTGAAAGAAGTTAAAAAGACCATTAGACATTTTTAAAATTTATGTTTCCTCCTTTTTTTTAATATAGAAAAATATGATTACATTCGGTAATTATTTTTTATTTTTTAAAAAAATTAAGGAAACTTGATTCCGTCGGAAAGAAACTTGTTTTTTTTCAGACTTTTTATATAATTTTAGTAACATTTAAAAACAATGAGAAATAAGCCACCTACATAATTGTCAAATGATTAAGAATCTCAATAAAACTAAAAGCAAGAAACAAAAAACAAAAATGTTACTAAAGGAAGGAACACTTAAAAATCTTTTAGAAAATTTGTCACGCAATTGTTTTCACTAAGGGTGTATTTTGGAATGACATTAGTGATTTTGAAAATAGAGATTTAAATATGATTGATTTTTCAAAATTACTACCTTTAAAATTAATTTAAAGTGATTTTAAACTTTTTTAAAATTAATTTTTTAATTTACCAAACATCATCGATGAAAAGTGATTTTGACAATAATAGAAGGTCATCGAACACACATTAAGCTGGTAATTGATATTTTCTAATCTCTCCTTTATTGCAAAATTTCCCCTTCAACAAGAATTTAAGAAAGATAGTGAATGGGGATTGGGTTCCCAACAATATGATATACACATGAAGAGCATGTTCAACCATTGCATTAATAATCTTTAAATTCAATCTCTTGGAGTTAATATAATTATTAAATATTATTTCGGTCTATATATTTTTTATGTTAGTTTATTTTGGTCTATTTATTTTTAAAATATTTTTGTCATTTTTCTTTCAATTCTTGTTCACTTTAGTCTATATATTTTTAAAATGTTCGTTTTAATTATTGCACTCTTAAAAAGTGATCAATTTCATCCCTTCTTATAAAATTTTAACATAAATTTTATATACAATGAAAGCTCTTTAATACAAATTTATGGTTGTATTTCAAGAAATTTAGTAGATGAGATGTCACGTTAAAATTGTGATCAAAAGAAGTGAGAATAAATGAAAATGAAGAGACCAAAACAGTTATTTTCTAAAATTATCTATCAAAATGAATGTTTTGAAAGTACCGAAATTAAAATGAAAAAAATTGAAATTATATAAACAAAAATAGATATTTAAAAGTACATATAAATCGTAACGAACAAAATATAAAATAAGTCTGACGAAAATAGTACTTAAACTTTAATTTAAAATAATGAATTATGTGTACCTTTTTTAACTATTTTTATAGCCCAAATTAACTTCTTCCTCTTGATTTTCCTTTTTATGTTTTCTAGGATTAGTTGAATTGAATTTAATGCATATTCACTCACTTCTTTTCTCTTACAACAACCAATAAGCCGAATTTCAAAGACAATATTACTTCTAACTCCTTCATTTTGACGCATATTACTATTTCCTTGTGGAGGTGCATATCCTCGAGCTTCCTGTATTCTTTTGAGGGTATTATTGTCATTTGCCGACCATGATAGTTTTTTTCTTTTTTTTCCTTCTCTCTTTTCGACCACGATAGTTGTATAGTACAATATAGTTGGAGTTGCATTTATTGTTATTTTGGAATAACAAAAATCATATATACTAATTTTTTTTTCATTCATAACATAATATAACATTACCAAAGTTGGAAAATTTCCTAGCTCTAAAGAATGCAATTGTTGAAACAAAAATAATCGGAGCTTTTTTTTTCAATAATTATCCATTTTCGGATTTGAGAAAAATAAAAGATTGATTGAGTTTATTTGAGTGTATGTCTCTCAATAATAAAATCATTTATATCTTACAAATTAAAAGTTACAGTCGAAAATGACTATTTCATATGTATTTTGGATGATGCGAAATAGAATTCGAGTATTACTTGTGTAGACATTGAAATCTACCTCCCATGTTTGATGAGTTGATAAACAATCAATGTCATCCATATTTAACTACTAGTACACACATGTAATGTTATCTAGATATGGTTTTTTATAGTACTCAAATTAAAGATTACCGTGATCATTTTGATAATATCTATGTGAAGTCGTGTGAGTTCTTACTTCGAGAATCACTTTAATTTCTACTTTTATGAGTCATTGACGCAAAATTTCTTAAATGGTTCTATATTACAGTACCTCTTAAAATTTTGGAGGGTGATTCTTCAAACCTATTATTTCCAAACCACGCAAATGTACCTGATTAGAAAAAAAAATCTTATTTTAATTTTCATATTTTTAAAATGTCTATCTTTGTTTATTTTATTTCCTATATTTTCAAAATTATACTTTTAAAAATGGATCATTTTCATCACTTCATTTTCATTTTTATCTAATTTATTTCAATCATAATTTTCGCACGACACTCCATTCACTGATGTTTTTTTAAATGTAGCCATAAATTTGTATTATAAGATTTTTACTGTGTATACAATTTTATCAATAAATATCAAATTGGTCACTTTTAAAGGTACGGAAACCAAAATAGACATTTTAAAAATACATAGACTAAAATGAATAAAAATAAAAAATATAGTAACCAAAATGAACGTTTCAAAAATTAAATAAATCAAAATGAAGTAAAAAATAATAATTTTTTTAATACAGCATGTGAGAGTGAGAGTGGAGATCGAATTTACCCCCTCTCGATTTACTAAAATCCGCTAGTTTGGACAAATTTAACAAATAAGTACTTCATTATTAAATGAGTAGATCTCGGACCTCACGTCCCAATATTAAATGAATATTTGTCTCGATCATAAGCAGCGTGTCATCAAAAGGACGATTTTGACCCCAAAATTTTCTAATTCTATTCAATCGATAAAATTATAAGTAAATAATAGTAATTAATTGTAATAATATTAATAACATTAACAAAGCGGGCTCATTAAATATCACGCGGCCAGGCAGGGGCAGCTCAAGATTCGGGCAGAGCCGCCGTTAATGCAAATTTTGTAAATGGGGCATGCCCTTCTCTGCCGATCCGGTCAGTTGAATTAAATATTTTCCTTTTTTTAGTAATCATCATTTACAGAAATTTCAGTATCAAAATAAATATAATAAATGATATTTTAATCGATAGAGAGAACTTTTTATCATCCGTCCCTCTCATCTGCGCTTTAAGATACTATGGTCATTGCTGTCATTTCGCCTATTTTCCCTTAAAAATAAGTTTTGAGAAATAAATAAGAGTGTTTGATAATTTTTTTAACATTCATTTATTTTTAATGTTATGGTTATCTAATTTTGGATAAATTAACAGCAAACGAAAGTTTTGTGGATTCAACGACTCTCTTGATATGAAAAAATTGCCTAATGAAAAATAAAAGAATGCAAAATCTAAAATTAAAACTAAAGGTAGGATTGAAGAGATATATTTTGAGTAAAGTAAATGAACATGTTTATAAACGTGACCAATTTTCACTGCATTCCATTTTTTTTATGTTCGTTTTAGTTTATTAAATTCTATTACAATATTAATATTCATGAGTTTCGTTTCAAAGCCAATTGATAATAGATCTCTTATCTTTTAAAGGTGAGATCGTTAATACACATATGTCTGAACTTATAATTTAAATCGAGATTGTAATTATAATTTTTTGGGATAAATTTATGATGTATTCAATGGATCGAAGTGGTCCTTGATCGACTAGATCATGTTACGGTAGTAATACCATGGTTAGGTTGAACGTTGTTCTTAAAAAATGTCTCGGCCCCATGTTGGCATGAATCTCACATCAATATCATAACATTGAATATGATAGTGATCATGGATGGTTTTTCCTAGTAAGTGGGTAGTAGGTTGAAGTCATTCAATACTTTTCCAAACTTATTTGGGAAACTATATGACAAATTTTTGTGAAATGGTAATTAATAATTCACATCAAATGTTGACTTTTTATCACTTCAATTTTTTCCCCTTTTTTTTTTTCTTTTTTGGAATTACATGTTCATGATGAGACTAATATAATTGTCATACAAAAAGTTAGCGGCAAATTTAGAAGAGGTTAATTAGTATAATTGTTTTTGGTATTTGAATATAAGAAATATCATCAAAGACGAAATAAACCAAGTTTTATCAAAATGTACTACAATTTTCTAATTAACACCGATTTAAATATGAATCTTTGTAGTTTAGATTATGTTTCAATTTGATATCTATTCTAAATTTATGTTTTAAATTATCGTAACCTAATCTCTCATTTCCTTAAATCTATTTTATGATAGACCTAAAAAATGTTAGTCCATTTTCTCTTGTTTCCCATATATTTTTTTCCATCTTAAATCTTAATATGTTCACTTTCACAATATTCACAATAAAATAGTCGGTGAGATTTAATCAAATCATAAGATGAAACTGAAATTGTTATAATTCTAGAGATCGATCAAATTGAAATTAGTGGTAGACGATAAGAACCAAATTGTCAATTTAACCTTTAAAATTTTGTTAATTGATATAAGTTTGGATTTCCAAACTTCAACGTAGCTGTGTGTTAGTTCATGTACTTTTTTGTTTTACATAGGCAAATATAAATTTTCAATTGCGTGTCAAATAAAGTCTCTACCTTTAACTCATTTGTGATATTTAGATATTAGTCACAAAATTAATATACTTTTAGTACAACAACATATTAAGGTGAAAATCTGAATTCACAACTTCATCGGGAGTATATATTTTAATTCATTGAGCTTATATGCTCAATTCATGAAATGGGGTGTTAATAGATTATAAACCCTTTCTAAAAAGTTTGTAGTAAAAAAAAAAAAAATTTATAAGATACAAATGTATTAATCTTCTCGTTGAGCATTGACTGGTCAAGAAGTTAAAAAAGAAAAAGAAAAATAAAAACACGTTTTCATCTCTGCCAAAACAGCACCAAACCATCAACCGCCATTAATATAAAGCTTTTAAAGTTTTTAAACCATTGCCTCCTTCTATAAATTCCCCAACACTTCTCTGGTTCCGAAGCTTCAATATCTTATCTTCCGATTCCAAGCCGCCGCTTTCTTCACATTTCTCTACTATATTACTTCTTTTTCTATTTTTCTCCGGCCGCCGGAACCGCTGCTTCCCATGGCGGAACGGGAACCCATACGCCGCCGAGCCGCCGCCTTCAATGAAAACGCCTGGTGCCGCGCCGTGCCCGGCGGCACCGGCACGGCGGTGCTAGCTCTTTCCTCCCGCGAAGCCCCCGACTCGCAACGTCTCCAAAATGCCCTCCACAAACTCCAAAATTCCCACCCTGTCCTCAAGTCCAGACTCCACGTGAGCCCCACCTCCTCCACTTTCTCCTTCGTGACCTCCCCGGACCCTTTCGTTCGGATCACCACATTCGGAGCCCCGGAAACGGTTAGAATCCTGAAAGACCAAAATGCCCCCGAGAACCGCTCTATTTCCCCTCTCCAGATTCTGCTCGAACACGAGCTCAACGAGAACGGCCCGTGGCGCGACCTGTGCTGTTACGGCTCCGACGCAGCGGCGGACATGTTCTTCGCTACCTTGTACGAAGTCGGCTCCGGCAAGTGGGTCGCCGTGTTCCGCCTCCACGTGGCGGCGTGTGACCGGACCACCGCCGTGTCGCTGCTGGAAGAGCTGCTCGTGCTAATGAGCAGCGCCGAAGATCCGTCCCCCATAGGTAACATAACAAACATTTTTTTTTCTCCTTAAAGGAGACAGGCAATAAAGTTTAAGTTGGCCGTTTTTAATTTTATTAATTTTTTTAAATATAAATATATATGACAAGTTGAGACACCTAATTTTTTCCTGTTCGAGATTCGAGGTTCCATCCCACCCTCATAATTGTACTAAAAATAAAAAAATAACTGTGTAAATATCTAATCTTGATCTGAATCTTATGTTGCTCCCACTCTCGATTGCCAATAATTTTAAAAACTAAAAAATAAAATTGGATTTAAATATTTAATATCGATTTAAAATTATAAATTTGGTTCTCAAATTTTATAAGTTGGATTAATAAAATTTATGAAATAAAAAAAACGCCTAATAATTAAGGATCTATTTGATATGCCACCCAGATTTTTCTTCTCTCAATTTTTTCTAGTGAAGACCTGTTTGGCGTTTTTTTCGTTAGAAAACTATTTTCTTAAAATTTTGAAAACAACATTGGTATATTTATTGTGTTTTTATACTTTGAATTTGAAAATTTAAAATATAGAATTACATTAAGAAAAATAAAACTTTGATAAATATACTATATCACGTTAAAAATGTATAATATAATATAAAATATATAACATCGTAAAGATAATAATTCTAATAACACATATGTTAATAAATTAATTAATGTTAGTTTAGATTTAAGTAAATATTTAGTTGGTGATTAGTACTAGTTTACAAATATATTAAATACTAGTAATTTTTTAAATTGAGATTCTATACATATATATATAATACACCTGTAACTTTATTTTCAGATTTCTATTTTTCAAATCACCAATCAAATCATCTTAAATTTGTAAATTTTCAATGTTCAACAACGTTTAAACTTTTAAGTTCATGTCTAGTATATATTTTTAAACTTTAAAACACACAACCAAAAATCGATAGACAGAATTAGTTCGATGTATTTTAAAATTAAGTGACCAAAATTTAAATTTATGGATTTATCGAACACAATTCGTAGTTTTAACAGGTGAGAAATGGGAAATGGGAGTGGGGATGGAGGATTTGGTTCCTCATAAGCTTGTGAAGAAGCCATTGCTGGCCAGAGGTCTGGACATGCTCAGCTACTCCATCAACTCTCTCAGATTAACAAATCTGAAGTTTAAAGACGTCAAATCTTCAAGGCGTTCTCAGGTGGCCAGGCTTCAGATTAACCAAAACCAAACCCACAAGCTTCTATCTGTAAGTTAATACGTTGTCGTTTTGGTACTTATTCCCACTTTTGTTATTATTATTTTTGATACAACGACGACGTCGTTTCGATCGATTTTGGTAGGCGTGTAAGTCCAGAGAGATCAAGTTGAGTTCCCTGTTGGTAGCGGCGGGGCTGCTGGCCGCTCACGCCTCCGGTGGCCATGCCTTCCACCGCCATCAACGGAAGTACGGAATCATCACGTTGATCGATTGCCGCCCGTTTCTCGACCCTCCGCTCTCTTCCCACCATTTCGGTACGTTTCAAGGAAAGAACAATACTTGCTTACACACCAACTTTTTCGAAACCTACTTACACAAACCTCCTCTATTTATCATTTAATAAAAAATGTCACATCATATAGAAAATTAGATGACATTTAGTCACAATATTTCACCGTGGAGTCTACTAACATTAAAAAAAAATTTAAGTACTTGAAAAAGAAAATTTAATTGCTGACAGATGAACATCTAAGTTAACGTTGAAAAATTGATGTTATTCTTTAAATTACCTTTTTTATTTATTTTTCTCTCTTATTTATAAATTTTTCAATGGTGTTCGTGCAAGATCAGAACTCACCCGTCACTGTCTAATTTTCTAATGTGATGGGTGGTTTTTTAGACCATGAAACATATAAATACGCACCTTTTAAATCTGCATAATCCCACGTGATGGTCCCTTCCATAATTTTTGTTCTTATGGACTATGTCCGGTGCGGTGTGGAGTCGGTTTCAAATTTAAACTATTTATTTCCATTTCCATGTTATAGCTTTTATGTTCATGACCTGACGTCACAATTAATCTTTGCTTTTCGGAATTTGTGTGTTTTATTTATTTTATATTTTTGAGTATACTTGCCTTTTTGGATCTCGGGGGTTGTTACTTGTTATGGATAAATATGTATATATTAAATAAAATTTTGCAGTTAAATATCTAAATCAATTTTCAGAAATTAAATTCCTATTTAATAAGGCTTTTCTTTCTCGTTCTTACTTTTCCATTTTGGTTTTGTATTTTTTATGAAAATAAAAGACATGTTTAAGAATTTATCTATTTTTTGGTTTTTTTTTCTCCCAAGTTTTATTGGAAAATGGTTTTTTAAATAAAATATTCAAACTTATTGTGTGTTATATGTTGACATTTTTTCAAAATATTTATTATGAGTTTTATAGGTTAAAAATGATCAGATAACAAAATTTATGGTTCATATCTTAATTTTCATCTATAAATTTTCTGATTCATTTTATTTTAGTCTTTTAATTTTTAAAATGTTGATTTTAATTCTTAATTTTTAAATAAAAAATTTTAGTCCTATCGTGTCGTCTAATATTTATCTACTTATATGAAAGTGGAGATTCGAACACATGAATCTCTTAGTCGGTCGGGGATATATACTTAATTAGTTTTTTAAAAGTTAGGAATTAAAATAAGTAGATGCGGTACCAAAATAAAATAAAATTGAAAATTTAGAGACTAGCTAGGTAAATATTTTGAAAGTTAAGAAAGATTAAAATGGAATAAACTGAGAAGTAAATTTTTCGAAAGTTAAGAAAGATTAAAATGGAATAAACTGAGAAGTAAATTTAAGCCTCAAATTTAATTAACTAGTATAGGAAATAATAGAATAAGTATACATTAATTATAATAAAAATGTTAAGTCATTAAATAACTATTAGAAATTAACATTAAACAATTTCTTTTAGAACCACCTATGTGAGATAGCAATTTAAATTAAAAAAAAAAACTTTCATACTTTCTTCTCGGTTCCTTCTTCCATAATCCGAACTCAGAGAAGAAAAAGATAAGAAGACATATGGAGAATGTGGTTATAAATCCATAATAGAGTCGGACCTCGAATTGATTAGATACTATAAATAATAATTAAAATTTATTACAGATACTGTTTGATGTCAAATTACATTTCAATTAATTAATAAATGTATGCATGCTAAGACTAAACTACCCTTGGAACATTCAGGATTTTACCACTCTGCCATCCTGAACTCCTACACCGTGAGAGGAGGAGAAGACCTGTGGGAACTGGCAAAGAAAACCTCGACGACATTGGAGGCCTACAAGAACTCAAACAAGCATTTTTCCGACATGTCGGACCTGAACTTTCTCATGTGCAGGGCCATCGACAACCCGAGCCTCACAGCGTCTTCAGCGATGAGGACGTCGCTGATGACAGTGTTCGAGGACACAGTGGTCGACAACTCTAGAAGAATGCAAGAGGAGATCAACGTCGAGGATTACATGGGCTGCGCTTCCGTCCACGGCATTGGCCCATCCATCGCCGTGTTCGACACGGTTCGAGATGGGCGGTTGGACTGCATCTTTGTCTATCCAGCTCCGCTGCATTCTCGAGAGCAAATGGAGGCTCTGATTGATAGCATGGAGGCTCTTCTTGTTAAAGGATGAAGAACAACAAACGGTTTGCTTTTGCTTTGGGTTTTTTAGTAAATTCCTATCTTTTTTGTTCTAATATATTTTTTGAAATTGAGTCATTTATGGAAGAAATTTACATATTGATGTTACTGAGATGTTATATATATAGAATTTGAGAAATAGAGAATTTATAGTTTTCATTTTGTGCTTGCCTAAGAGTACTGGGAAAAATTTATTTTATGGCATTATGATTAAGAAAAGCTTATATAGTGCCGAACCAAGTTGTTTTTTCAGTACAATAATTGTAGCGATGGAGGATCGAATCTTCGAATTATCCGAAGAAAGAAGTTAGGTGCGTTAATCGTTGAGGTAAGTTCATGTTGACGTCAAATGATCAAGTTGTTACTTTCGAGGAAAAATTTTTCTTTTGTGTAGTCCACGTGGCTCTCTAATGGTCTAATCAATTTTGATTTTCAAAAAGAAAGAAAAAAGAAAAGAATTTTCATTTGATTGGTTTTGCTCATTGAATTAGGGGTGTTCATCGGTCGGTCGGGTCGGGTTGGTTTTTAGGCTGAAATCTCAACCGACCAACATGTTGTCAATGAAAACCGACCGACCACTTAAATAATATATAACCGACCGACCGACCGATCGGTCGGTTTACACCAAAATCGACTTTTTTTTTAATGAGTGTGTGAACTACTGAACAGTCTCATTTTTTTTTTTTTTTTTTGCCATCCTTTTGCCAAAATCGCTGTGGGACTGGGTCGCGACAGGCGACTGAGCGTCATGGACTCACGAGCCTGTTGGATATGAAAGGAAAAGAAAGTAGAAATCCATAAGAGAGAGAAGAGAAAAGAGAGAGAGAATAGAAGAGAAATAATTGACCGTTGGACGATGGGCGACAGGATGTCATGGCAACAAGGACGTTGCGACGGAGGAGAGGGAGAGTGTGGGGGGATGCGGCGGCAATGGCCGGTTGGGAGTGAGGGAATGTGGGCAGAGAGTGAGAGATGAAGGAGAGAGTGGAAAAGTGAAAATCAAAAGGAATGAGTGGGGGACACCGCTGGGGAAAAAGAACCTAACCCTAATTCTAGTATAAAATATAATTTTTGTTTTTAACATAAATGTCGGTTGGTCGGTCGGTTTTAAGGGATTTTTTTGGGCCGACCAACCGCCCATCTCTCAAAATCCCAAATCGATCAATCGACCATATATTTTCAAAACCGATCGATCGACCCTATTTCGGTTGGTTTCGATCGATCGGGTCAGTTTTACCTCTTCTAATGTGCACTCCTACATTGATTGATGTTTGATAGGTATGGATCATCAAATAGTTTCTATTTTATCTATGTATGTAGTTCAATGAGTGAAATTTAATTTTAATGTAAAATTGAAATAAATAACGAATATCAATGCTTTTGTTTAATGCTTTTGTTTAATTAAGCCTGTATTGGATAACCATTTCATTTTAATTAGTTATTTAGTTTTGAAAAAGAGAATTTTTTTTGGTTTATTATATACTTCTCAGAAATGTTTTTAAATCCTAAACAAAATTTCAAAAACTAAAAAAATACATTTATTTGATCTTTTCCTCAGACATCAGTGCCTCACCCTCTAGGAAAAGTTACAAGTTTAATAATTAATTTTAATTTTTTAAATTTAAAAATAAAAAACGTTAGCATGAGAAGAGATCTGTTTCTAAAAAGATATTCTTTTTCCTTCTTTTTTTTTCTTAAGAAAAAAGGAAAGTATAAATTTAAATTGGTTATCAAATAAAAATATTTTTCAAAAAAGAAAAAGTCAAAAACAAAATGAAATTCTTTTATCATCCAGACACCGAATATTTGTAGAGAAATATTCGGATATTAATGGCTCTGCCAAAGGCACTGATCAGAAAGATCGCTTGGTTCGGATCATCTTGCACAATACTTAAGTTTGTTTGGTACAAAATATGTTAAAATTTTAACAAATTTTTCAATGTTCAATAAATTTTTAATTCAAAATAATAATAATAATTATTTTCTTTTTTTTTGAAAAAAAAAGTCTTTAAAAATTATTTTTCTAGAACTGTTTTTAAAAAGTATTTGGTAATTAAGTTATTAATTTTTTAATTTTTTGTCTAAAATAAGTCCATTGATCTATTAAGTGTTTTTTTATAATATCAAGAATCTATTATACACAAAATTGAGTTTTATGTTAAATACGACATTCACCTTTCAATTTTATGTCTAATAAATATTTTTTATTTTAAAAATATCTAATAAATCAAATGTTTGTTAGATACAAAATAAAAAATTCAAAAATTTATCAGACATTTTTTAAAGTTTAGAGATTTACTAAATAAAATATTGAAAGTTTCGAAACTAAATTTATATTTTGTGGCTAAATATATTATTACTCATCCCTTGAAATGGATTTTAGTTTTTAATTTTCTTGGGGGTGTTTTAAAGCTTTTTTTATAAACTGTTTTAAAGATTTTAATTAAATACTTTTTTAATTAAAACCTGAGATGGTTTAGATATCTATCTTCAATAAAAAAAAGTCACAAATTATAACTATGTACCAGGTTTTAAATGTCAATATCGATGGATATTTGTGTAAAAGTTAAAAAATTTAAAAATTATAAAAAATATCTAAATTAACAAATAAACATTTTCCTAATTCTAAATTAGTTAAAAATAATTAATATTAATATTATGTATATTAGTGACATTTTGTTGATATTTTTCATATTTTATCGATTTTCTTATATTAGGATGGAAATGTCGATGTATCGACGAATATTTAGAACCTATGCTACATACTAAAAAATCAAATACTTATCAATTATATAATCAGACCTTGGGTGAAAAAGAAAACCTTAAAAACGGAACAAAATCGACCGAATTCATAAAATTGATTTAAAATTGTATGTTTTTCACTTTAATAACCACAACTTTCTTACTATAAATAAATTAGCTTGCTCAACCATCCATTTACTTTTCAAAATAATTTACAATAGTCTATAAATACACATTTTAGATTTAGTTCCCAAATTTGTTGAATTATTGGATCAAAAATAGGAACAAACAAAAGCATAACTCATTATTCAAGAATCAAGATAAGATAGTAGTAGGGAGTTCAAATTCCCTAACTTTTATTAAACTAAAAAAAGTTTTCAAAATTACCTTTTTTTTTAATTTCAAAATGTTTACTTTATTTGTTTACTATTTTATTCTCTAGAATTAAAAAAAAAAAAACTAACAGTTTTGTTTTATCATCATTATTTTGTCCATTATTTAACAGATAACGTAATTTTAAATATGTGTAGTTTTTATAATATGCGAATATTATTAAGTAATTAGAATAATAATAATGTCCGAGATGAATAATATTTTTGAAACTTAAAAAATTGGAATAAATATTTTGAAATTTTAGATACCAAAATAATATTTTAAAAAGTTATATACTAAAATATCTTTTATTTGAGTATATTGTACAATAAATGTGAAAATTCTAACTTTCAATGATAATACCAAATCGAGAGCAGCCAAAGAACTTGTAAGTTTCATCCTCCACACTACGTACTAAAAAAATTAATAATAATAAAACGAAAAAAAAGCTGCTATGAGCCTATGGCAATTGGCATGAGAATTATTTATTTATTATTTATGTTTTTTTTAATGAGGTACTATAGTTATTGATTGCTAAACGTAATTAAGAGACGACAAGTCGCGGCAGATTGCATTATACATGTCCAGACCCGGAGCGCTCATCCGACGTCGTATTACCAACACAACAAATTCACTTTCGTTTCTCTGCGGAGCTTCTTCTTTTTCTTGGAAAGTATCGGGCGTCTCACGGCGGCGGTGCCGAAATGTCGGATCAGACTCTTCCCCCGCCGTCCGGCAAGCCCAAGTCCCGGCCCGTCGGCGGCACCGAGTACAGCTGGTGCAGGGCGGTTCCCGGCGGCACCGGCACCACAGTTCTCGGCCTCCTCCTCTCCAAATCTCCCGATATCCCTCATCTCCAATCCTCCCTCCACCGTCTCCAAAATCTCCACCCGATCCTCCGCTCCAAAATCCGCTACGATCCTTCCAGAAGAGATTTCTCCTTCGTCACTCCCCCTTCTCCGCCTCTGCAGGTCCAAATCTTCGACCACGCGGCGACCGCACGCGCCGTCGCGTCCCACCCGGACGCTCACGATCCTTCCGTCTCCGACTTCCACAAGATCCTCGAGCAGGAGATCAACCACCACGGCACGTGGCTGGATCCGAGCGATCCGTCGTACGCCGAAGCGGACGTGATGTTCGCGAGCGTGTACGCCGTGAGCGAATCGCAATGGGCGGTGTTGCTCCGGCTGCACACGGCGGCGTGCGACAGGGCTGGCGCGGCGGCGCTGCTGCGAGAGCTGATGGCGGTGGAGAGCGGAGAAACGGCGGTGGAAATTGGGGATAGAGGAGAGATCGGATTAGGGATTGAGGATCTAATCCCTAACGGGAAGGCGAGTAAGGCTCTGTGGGCGCGTGGATTGGACATGCTTGGTTACTCTTTGAATTCGTTCAGATTGGCGAATCTGGAATTCAGAGACGCCGCTTCTCAGAGATTCTCACAGATGATTAGGTTGAAGATGAACTCCGACGAGACCAACAAACTCCTCGCTGTAAGTGATTTTCTCTGCAACTTTTCCTTCATTTTCTCGGAAAATTTTTGGATTTCTTTTTTGCATTTTGTTTTTTAATTGACGTCGACTAATCGATAATGTAAATGGGACCCTTTAATCTCAAAAGCCAATCGGATTCTTCTTGAAATCTGAAAAGAGAGATATTTATTTTTATTATTATTTTGCTTTATAAATTTATTAAGTTTGGTGATTTCGGAAACAGAATTTTGAAAACAATAAAAAGTAGAGTTAGTTTCCGTGTTTAATAATACTACCAACTAAATATTTATCTATCTAAGATAATAATTTATCTGGAAATATTATTTTACAATATTATATAATTGATAATATATTATATATTATATTGGTTAGTTTTAACCAAAATGAAATGAATTTATAATAATTAAATAATATATTTATCAAAATTTTTATAATTTTTTAATGTAATATTGCATTTAAAAATGTTCAAATTTTTTAAAAATATAAAATTATTGTTTTCAAAATTTCTCACATGATTTAAAAATAGTTTTTGAAAACAAATATGTGGAGGTATTCATAATGTAAAAACAATAAAATTCATACGAAGCAAGCTTAAATTTTTTATTTTCAAATTTTCATATTTGAAATCTTCATTTTCATTTTTTTTCCTTTTTTACTTTCAATAAGATTTTACTTGTTATTCAATCTCTTCTACAAGAATGTTGTATCTCATTCATAAAAGAGAAATTACACTTATATAGTATAAATTTAATTTATATTTTCAGAGTATCAAACTTTTTCATTTTTTTTTAAAATGTAACATAGATTTGACTGTTTTTGTAGGTTTATATTACATTTGAGTATAATATTGATTTGGATTGTGTTATTTTTATAAAATTTTAAATTTATGCTATATTTAAAAGTATACGTTCATTTTATACTTTTTAGGTAAACAACTCATGCTTAAAAATGTATATTTATTTTATGCTATTTATATAAATACTTAAAAATAAATAAAAATTTGAGAAATCACAGCAATAAATAGTGTTCTTAGCAGTACATTTCACATTAAATAGTTACTCCTACAGTCTTAACGTACTATGATTTTAAAGTAAATTGAAATAAGATATTCGTATACCTTATAACATTTTTACATTTATAATTACAATAAATATATTTGTAAGTCAAATCGAACCTAATTTAAGTGGTTGAAGAATTTATCTCTGACCAAAAGATCATAGGTTCAAATTCCCACCTCCACAATGTTATACTATATATATATATGTATGTATATATATATATTTTTTTTTTAACATCAAATCAACATAATCCAGATTAAATTTGGATACAGAGTGAAGCACACTAAAAAAATCAGGCATGTGGCAACTTAAAAAAAAAAAAAAATATATATATATATATATATTATATATATATATATATTAAATTTAGTGAATATTGGAAATTGTTGTGTCTTCGATTATTATTACTATTATTATTATTATCATTATTGGAAATCAAACAATTTTTTTTTTCAGTATAATCAACAAAAAAATTATTGTTATTGTTATTATTTTAAAGATAAGTGGGGTTACAGTCAGTTTTGGTACTATGCGGTGCCCACGCTGCCCACCGTCGTCTGGCCTTGGACGTTGATGTCTAGATGACGACAACGACAAAGCGTCTCAAAATAATATTCTTTTTTTTTTCATTTTGTGCTGTTAATTTTCTAATTTTCTTTTTTTCTTTTGTCTTGTTATTAATTTTCTATTTTTAAAAATTATTTTAGTAGCAATGCCTTCTATTTTTATACTAATGTATTAGTTACTTTTTGCTGGCTATATTTAACAATTTCCCTCTTTTTAAAACTATTTTCTTAATTCATTTTAGAGTGTTTTTTTCCCTCCGTAAGGATGATAAAGTAAGGGATATTAGATATCTAATATAAGAATTAAATTTATCGGATTCATTAGCTTAAGTTTTTGGGTTGAGTGGTAATTTATTGTATCAGAGCGGGAGGTCCTTTATTCCCCTTTTTATGATTAGTGAAATTATTATATTTTAGTCAGTTAAGTTATACGCTCTACGGAAGAGTGATGGAAAAGAGGAGGTTTTGCTTTATTTTCTTGTTCCTCTTCCTTTAATGGAAAATGAACAATTGATTGAAAACAAAATTATTTTCTTTCTATTATATGATATATATATAGAATCTTAGACAGATATTATGAATTAAGATAATATAATTAAGCAAGCGGCTCATTCGTGATTCAAAATTGTCAAACCTAGACACAACTCAAAGTTAGACATATATCCGTATGCCGACCAAAATGTTGTAGGTTCGAATCCTACTTCCACGTATTGTTATACTAAAAAAATCACCATAATTAAAAAAAAAGGTTTTGAGCTTTATGGTTTTCAAAACAAAATCAAGATACCATGGAGACACATATTACTATCGTTAAAGTTGACCGTTCGATTTCCTACACTATAATTTATTGAACTCGAAAAAGAAAAACCCGTAGAGATAAGTGACCCCAATGTGGTATCGGCCTTAGGAATGGGCAACTAAACCCCATGGGGTGGATTTGAAACAATGCATCTTGAATTTATATCTAACGGTTATTAGGGGTCAATCGTTGCAAATAAGTTGATTTGATTTGTAGTTAAATTTAGTGGTTTGATCATTTGAATATTTGAATTGAAGGGGTGTAAATTGAGAGGAATTAAGCTGTGTGGAGCTCTAGCAGGTGCTGGATTGATTGCTACTCGTTGTTCTAAAGACCTTCCTCGCCACCAGAAGGAGAAGTATGCTGTTGTTACTCTAAACGACTGTCGTTCCCTCCTTGATCCTCCCCTCACAACTCACCATTTAGGTAATCTCAACTCCCTTCGTCATCGTTTACGGTATATTTTCTTGAACGTCAAGTAAAAATTCTAAATTTATCTTTTCCTACGAGGACTTAAGCTTTTAGGTCAAATAATATATAACATGTTCTTATGATCTAAACAAACTACCACCAGAAAAATTGATTGAAACAACCGAAACCGATGAAATCAATTCATATATAACTTATTCACCATTTTTCAGTTTTATACTTTAGGAAACTAACCTTACCGACAAGGATAGTTCGGGCTGGTCGAACCAACTTAGTGTAGTTTCACTAGTTTCTTTTTTAATTTCAATTTGGTCCTTAAACTAACTAAGTTGATGCTGAACTTTCCGATGGCAACCTATTTGGTTTAGATGATTCTTTCCGTTACTAGAAAAACAAAAGATTACTGAAGTCCTGTTTGATAACGATTTCATTTTTAGATTTATGTTTTTAAAAATTAAGCTTGTTTAGTACCAAAAATTTATTTGGTATGTTTTAGTATTTCTTTTTAACATATTTGAATTTTTAGCCAAAATTTCAAGGCATAAAAAAGTTTTCGAAAACTAACTTTTTTACGTTTTCAAATTTTGGCTTAGATTTTGAAAACGTTTTTGCAAAGTAGACAGCAAAACAAATGAGTACATGGGTGTGGCAAAGCGAAAAAAACAAACACTTTATGGCTCTGATTTTAAATTTGATACATTTCAGGATTCTATCACTCTGCCATCCTCAACACTCACGACGTATCAGCTGAAGAAACTCTGTGGGAAGTGGCAAAGCGATGCTTTGTTTCCTTCTCAAACGCCAAAGACAACAACAAGCATTTCTCAGACATGTCTGACTTGAACTTCCTCATGAACAAAGCCATCCAAAACCCCACCCTTACTCCGGCCGCATCGATGAGAACGGCCCTGATCTCGGTGTTCGAGGACCCCGTCGTCGACACTTCCCACCCTGCACACCAATACCTTGGCTTACAGGACTACATCGGTTGTGCCTCTGCCCACGGCGTCGGGCCATCCATCGCCTTGTTCGACACAATTCGCGACGGTCAATTGGATTGTGCTTGTGTTTACCCGTCACCTCTGTTCTCCCGGGATCAGATGAACCGAATTTTCGATGAGATGAAGAAAATTCTGGTTGATGCCATGGAAGTAGATGAAGGCTAGTGTTTTAGCTAGATGTTTGTGTACTTTTTTTGTGTTATTATAAGCATTTGCTTTCTTCTCCAAAACAACACAAGAAGACTATTTAGAGCTGGATGAATAATAGTTGCATGAACAAAATTTTTGCAATTTTTTTAAAAATTGGACCTTAAACCAGAAGGTGAAGGCCCTTCGTTAAAGAAAAGAGAGAGAACTTTTGAGGGGTAATGGGCCTTGGCCCATTAAATCTTGACCTAAGGCTAAGGCCCATACACTTTTAAGCCCAAAATTTCTGTCTTCTTCTTGTTGAAGTTTTTCCTATGTCAACCATTCCTTTGGATCTCTCTCTATATCCTTTAAAACTGAGAGAGAACCATCCACTTGCCAATTCCTTATCCCACTTCTCTTGTGCTTGTGTTTGAAAAAAAGAAAAAAAAATGCATATTTTAAAGTGGTCAATTTAAATTTCATCTCAATTTTTTTTTCATTATATTTTATAATATGTAAAAAATTAAGTGGAGTTTTCTTTTTCTTCGCCAACAATCCTTGCCTACATATGTTTCATGGTGTGATGCTAAGCCCAACAAACTTTCTAAGTTAGATAAATGGGTTAAATTGTAGATAGATTTTGTAACGTACATCTATTCTAGTTTATTGAGGAAGTATCTATCATTTTATTTCTAGAGATGATCTTGTTGATTCTCCGAGATTATAGAGGACTAGTAACGTCAAGATTTTTTGCACACGTCTGCAATTAATAACTGAGTTAGAACGTCAAGGTCGCTTAGCCGTAGGATCAGCCTGGTCAATTCCCCCGACCTTGGTGGTCGACTTGACCACATTGGTCTCGTGGTCTTGGTGGTTGGCTCAGTTCAATTGGATTGGTCTAACAAGCTATCCAGATACTTTTGAATTGGTCGTTCACTTTTGATAATCTCATATCGTCAAATGAATATAGTTCAATGGTAAATATTTATATACATTCTCTTAATCGAAGGTTTAGATTCTTACACCTTCTCATTGGTTATACTAAAAAAAAAAATCCTAAGATCCATAGCTAACATAAGGTTAATTACATAAATTAAATATCAATGTTCAATAATTTGTATTTTAAACTGGTATATTTTCATTCTTGTCCCTCACACTTTTGCATTAAACTTTCATTGAATGTTATGTTTGGTCTAAGACTTAGTTCTAAATTAATGAAGTTATATTTGTCTCGATATTAAATACATTACTATACTGAATTCCCAACACATTACATCAATTTATTTATTTATCTAATTCTAAAAAAAATATTTATTTATCTAATTATTATGAATTTGAAAATATGAAAGTATTACTCTTACGTGACTATAGCACTAAATTATGCTATTTGTTGTAATTTTTGTGTTATCATATTACTTGGGTATAAAATTTAATTAAATAATCACTTTTATAGTAGGAGATACACATAAAAATTTTATTTAAGCAAATGAAAATTAACAATTATAACCGGTATTTATAGCTATAAAAATTATAACAATGAAATTTATAATATTGTGATTATTACAATTTGCAGTTATCATCACTCAAAGTTGGGTGTTTGGTCTAGTGGTATGATTCTCGCTTCGGGTGCGAGAGGTCGCGAGTTCGATTCTCGCAACACCCCAATTTGTACATGTTTTCCCCCTTTTTTCTTTTCCTTTTATTTATTTTTTTAAATTCCAACGTTATGCATTTATAGCAACAAAGTATTTTTCTTTCTTTTCTCTTTTCTTTTCAATTTGTATTCGTCTTTTATTTTGGCAGCTTTTTAGTTCTCTTGGAAAAAAAAAAAGCTACATACTTCTAAATATTTTATAATATAAGGTTTTTTTTTTCTCACTTTTATAAAATATTAATTAAAAGGATATCACTTTTGCATACATAATATTTTTACCCCAAAAATTTCACATATATATTTATAAGTAATATTTTCGTCTTTTAAATCTATTTATATAACATTATTACATCGTAAATAGGCAAAGTGATATTTGAACCTACCAATTATAATAGAGAGATATATATACTTAACTGTCTTTCATATATTGAAAGATTTAATCTTAGACGTCAATAAAAATATTTAATATATGAATCGTGCTTAATTAGTATATGTATTCAAGTTACTTTAGTTAAACTGAATTTGATTAGTATCGTAATAATCGAGTATAATGGCTAAATTGACACTAAGAATATGGTAAAAAGCAAAGTACCAATAGTTAAACAAACTTTTCGCTTAATTTGATGTTGGTCTTATGTACTAACATAGGTAGAAATGCATGACCACAATTTTTGTTATTGACATTGTTAAATATATCTCACTTGATAAATGAGACTAGAAACTAATTAGTGATTTTCATTGCATAATTATATTATTTATACATCAATGAATGATTTTTCGTTTGATTATATTATTCGTGCATTTGATTGCTGAACATAATTAAGTATGGACATTTATTCATTTTCTCGAGGTTGGAGATTCAAACTTCTATATCCCAATTTGTTATACTAAAAAAAATAATTTGTACAGTTAATAGTCCTTAAAATTTAACATTTATATCCTTTTGGTTTTTAAATTTCATTAAAAAACACATTTAACTTTTGACTATGGTAAATTAATTTCATTTAGTCTGACATAGTTGTTTTGCTTATTTGCTAGTTATGGTTACAACAAAAGATCCCTTACATGCAAAAACGAGTACAATTCAGTGGTAATTAGTATATAACTCAAATTAATAGATTATAAGTTTGATTCTCACATCTACATGTTGTATTAAAGGAAAAAAAAACGGACCCTTACATTGTCATAACTTTTACATTAAAATAAAATGATCCTAATGTGACGTAAAAAATGAATGTTTATTAATTTTAGGAACAAAAAATAAAATGATTCCAGAAATGCTGACAAACAATTTTTTTTTAATTAATTGTTTTTTAACCTTTTTTATTTATTAAAAGAAGTATAAAATAAAATAAAATCTAAAATCGTAATTAAAATGAAAGGGACCTAATCTTTTTCCACGATTCTCCACTGAAGAAGATCCCCAAATTCTTGTGGCTTCTTCCTTGCCTTGCCAGACAAACATGTGGGATCTCACAACGTGACACCAATTTTTTTTAGTATATTTTTTATCCTGCTTTTTTTTTTAGATAAACTTTTTATATATAAATTATTCCTTGTAACTTTATTTTTTTCTTATTTGATTGGGGCCACGGATTACCATTTCTTTTCCTTTTTAAGATTGTAATTTGATTCGTCGTCCTCTTCTCGAAATAGCTTTCTAAAATTGACTATTATAGTCTATATTTGTAAAATTTTAATATAAATTTTATATCCAATGAAAACCATTTAACACAAATTTACAACTATATTTCAAAAAAAAAAATTAGTGAATAAAGTATGATATTAAAATCGTGATCCAAACCTGATAGAAATGAAAAATGAAATGACCGAAATGATGGGAGGTATCAAAACAAACCTGAACTAAAATAATATTTACACATTTTTTTTATATAGTCATTTCTTAACCTTTGAAAGTTGTCTTCTACAAGCATGAGATTACTTGGACAATAAGCATTATTACACAAATGCCATGAAATTTGTCTTAAAAATAATTTTGAAAACAAAAAATTAAAAAATATATCAAACAGGTTTTTTTCCTTTTTGTGACGTGTTATAAGATAGGGATGTAGATCTAGACGGGTGGATATTTTTTATTCGTAAATTTTGATTATAAATAATTATTTTGACGGTGTCATTATTTATTTATATACTTTGCAAAAAGTTCGATTGTTACGCTATAGTTGACGAGTCAATTTTTTTCAATTTCAATTCTTAAGCTTTGAATGTTACCAATATGAACTCTTAATTTCAATACGTGTTGTGAAAATTAAATTTAAAAATGGACCATGAACCATCCAATATATCATATAAAATTCAACTAACAAAATATTTGAAATCATGTGAAAGGTAGAAACTCAATCATTAAATACTCAAAATTAGACACAAATAAAGCAGATAAAAAACATTCCAGCTTAATAACAAAATGTCTAAATCCAATTAGTTCAAACGTACCTCACACCGGAGAGATCCATAAACTTTATTTAGAAGATATAATATGATGAAACGTGGTAAAATAATATACGATAAAAAAATTCATAATTTCATAAATGAACTTATATTCATAAACCAAATTGGATTAAATCGTCCTAACTTTGGTCTAAATTTATAGAATGGAAAAATATGATTTTGATGCTGATAGATTTTTTCTTGCAAATATGTTCTGCAGTTTGATTTTGAATATTTTAATTTTAGTTTTTAGAGCATCGATTGACCAATAGTTATTCTAAACTGACTTCTATAGATGATTAACTTATTATTATTATTAAATAAATAATAATATATAAAAAATAAAAAGAATCCAGGATGATAATATTGAGTAAAAAAGAGAAAATAGATGATTAATTGTTATAAAAACAAAAGATTTATGTCCCCAGGAAATGGATAAGATATTAGGGTGGCAGTAAACCCACTACAGCATTGGGAGGTTTTTTACATCGGCATAATTTATAATATAAAATAATATATTTTTTTTCGATATAGACAACCACGTTTCGTTTTAAAAAAAAAAAATTAACATGGTCAAGAGACGATGATGTAGGCGGAAAAAAATCAAAAATTTTTTTTTTTAAAAAAAAACAACAATATTTTTGGAATAAGTTTCAAGTGGCATTTTTTTTTATTTTTTCTAATAAATCAGCCTGATTAAAAAAATAAGTTTAATTAAAAACAATATTTTATAAAAATCCCCCAAAAATACGTCTTAAACAAAAACAACGTTAAACGAACCCAGGGGAAAAAAAGGTATCACAAAAATGGAAAATCCAAAAAGAAAAAAGCGGCCGGTGGAATTTAAATTTGAACCAGTGATAACAATTAATAAGCCGTTGGGTCCGACAAACCAACGGGTCTATTCGAAACTTTTGATAAAGCTCAAAAAGGCAGCTTTGCCGCTGCCGAGTCGGCCGGCGCGGCCACTTCCGGCGGCTCATATTTGCATTCTCTCTCTTATTATTATTATTAATTTAAGGTTCAAACTACGTTTTAAATGTCGAAACCTTAAATGTCAATTTCGAYGAAAATGTCGAATTCTCAATTTCGTAAAAATTTCAATGTCGAATATTTTTGAAAAAGTTATAAAAATAAAAATCTTGAAATGAATATTTAAATTAACAAATAATGATTTGAACTAAATAAGTAAAAAATTATTAATATTAATATTATATTGATATTTTTCATATTTTACTTTTTGTTTTTGTAATATTATGAAATGTCAATTCATCCTTTATGTCGATGTCGAATCTATAGATATATGGACATGTTGACCGATATTTGATACCATGGTTCAAACTATGTTGTCTGAATTTTTAGATAAACCTATTAAATTTTTACTGAATTTAATTTAAATGACTCATTCTCAAATTCAATACTGAACTTTTATGTGTAACACACGAGTTCATGGAGTGGTATGACGTAAGTTTCTATTTAATTATGCACAGTCAAATCTAATGACAATGGTTAAAATAGATTTTTATTTAAATTTAGGAATCATAATATAATATTTGGAAGTAAAAAAATTGAAATGATATAGGTATAAAATTAAGGTCTAAACATTATTTTGGTCATGTAATTTTTGTTTTCGGGTTCTTGTGTTATCAACTTTAATTTGTTTAGTCATTTTATTTTTAAAATATCTGTTTTGAACCATAATGATCTATTTTTTTAGTAAAATATGTTGGGGAGATGATTCAAACTCACAACCTCTTGATCGGAGGTATATGTTAATTACCGTTGAGTTATGTGCGTTTTGACCCATAATCATCTACTTTAAAGTACAGTGACTAGAACTAACAAAATTTAAAAGTAAAATGGATGTTTTTAAATTACATTGATTAAAATTATATCTAAATTGGACATAGTGATTACCATTTCTAAACCAAATTGATAAAGCTTATCAAGCAGAACAATAAATGCTAGTTCTATAAAGTTGAAAAAAATTTCGGTTTGATTTAGTTTTTGTTAAGTGTTATCACACAATTGGTCTTATTTTATTTTATTTTTAAAAAATCCAATTTCACAATGTCATTTTATTTTTCTTATTCCGATTAGTTGCTTTGATATTGATTTTGACCAAAAATTAACCCATAAGAGTGTATCAATTTAGACCCAAATACTCCAATATAAATATACAAGAAGGCCAAATAAATGGGAGTTTACTAGCTATTATTCTTTTTAAATACATTAGAAATTGAGACAAGAAATACGTTATATATATGTGTGTGTGTATATATATATATATATATATATATATATATATATATATATATATTCATTATACAATACAGGTACATTTCACGATTCAAATTATATCAATGTTGTGTTTACGTTCGTTTTGGGACTTATGTATTAATATTTTGAATGGTGAAATTTTTATTTTAAGACATGTTGTATTATGACCTCTCTCTCTTTTTAATTTGTATTATGATAATTTTGAGAAGTTGTTAGAAAATTTAACAATTTTTCTTTTTAGATGGGGACTCCTCAGGTAATTCAACCATTTAAATGAAAATTTACTATAGAACTTTAGCTTTTCATTTATAATTTTTTAGAAAAATAAATGAAAATAACTACCCGTGAGAATATGATCTCTGTGAATTTTTTTCGCAAAAAATTCCCGCTCTGATAATACTCCTGTTGTTTACCAATTAAATAGATAAATTCATAGATGCAAGAAAAAGAGTGAAAATAACATGATGAGCCATTAGATTGCCATTACCAAGATGTAGATGATCATTATGTGAAAGTTTACCTAATTATGATTAATTATATTTTGCTTGAATTTTAGTGTACCCAATGAAGTAATTGAGAAAAAATTCACCTTTTCCCCTCTTCTTATTAATCAATAACCCTACAAAAAGCAATTAGATTATAACATCACAACCTTATAAAACACCTCTATAACCTTATCCAACCAACTCAATATTTTAGGTTATAGTTGTATTTAGAAAATATCTCATTTCTTATCGGTATCATATCGCACATTTTTATCATGTATTTAAGTTTGTGTGATTTGATCAAGTATTCTAATGGAAAAAAATATCTCTAATTCATTATGTTTTATTGTAACACATAAAAAGAAACAGAAAAAAATTATAAGTGAATTAAATATCGAACTCTATTCGAGGTTTGACTTTTTTTNAAAAGCTTATCTGATTAAAGGATTTAGTAGACACTTGTAATCTGAATAACTTAGAATAATTATCCAATTAATATGATCATTGATATTCTATATTTTGTCTTAAATAGTATTTTGATTAAAGCTCTTAAAGGGCGGCTAAAATGAGATGAATGAAAACATCGTATATGATAGTCCAAGATTATTACATGTAATGTTGTTAGGACCATTAAGGGTGAGAACTTTTATTCTAATCCTATTTAATGATTTAATATGGAATGACAGAAAATGATATAAAAGTTCCAATGTTATGTTTTACTACCACCTTTTAAATTTTGAATTCACACGTATATCTGGATTGAGAGGCTCCAATTTTCAAATAGTGTTTCTTACAAAAAAATCAAAAAAAAAAAAAAAGAAAATCAAACCCATTAAATAACTTTAAAGAAAAAGGGTCTAAATCAAATAATTGGTTTCTGCTTTAAATAACAATTAGAAACAAAAAGAGGCAAATTTGACATGGAGGACGTGGCAGTGGGAAACCGGTGGACTTCGGAGCAGAGGATCGCAACCCTCAGAGTTTTGTCAATCCTATAAATTCTGATAAGACATCGCTGTAAGACGGGTTCTACTAGCCACGTGGCCATGCCGGATTGGCCCTTCTTTATTGCCTTCGTCTTTCTCTGTCACCACCTGTCATTCTTCGCTCCCTGTACATTTATTTATTTTTTATTAAAAATAAATATCTAAATTATCAGTTATCACTTTGGAACTTTTATCCTTCTTTTTTAATTTGAGCTTCTGGATTTCTCCAACTTTTATTTTATAATAATTTTATTTTATCTTTTTAGTTTTTCATTTATTTTTCTACGATATCGCGAAAGTAAATTCTTAAACTTACAAGCTTCAAATATGGAATTTGTAAATTAATAATGCTTTTGTTTCGTAATAATATGATTTTATCGAAATTATACTCAAATTTTTAAAGTCTGAATGGTTGAAAATACAATTATTATCCAATTATACTTTAACCGTATATTTCTAATTTTAACTTAATTTGAAAGATTAAAATGGATCTAAACTTTATTTAAGTAATAACATAACATTAGAAAAAACTCAAAACCAAAATTCTTAAAAAAACCAGTTTTCAAATTTGAACTTAATATCTTATTTATTTATAACCAAATTGTTGTAATTTATTATTTATATATTTTATATGTTACTTTTACTTGAATTCATTAATGTGAAGTAAAGTTAAAAGGACAAATCAAGATTAGAGTGATTAAAGAAGATAAATTATTTTTTTTTATGATTAAAGAAGATAAGTTACTTATCAAAAAAAAAAAAAAAGATAAGTTAAAATCGTAACCAATAGAATATGAGTTCGCTCTCGTTTTTTTCTCTCTTTTCATCAATTAATGAAACTTGTAAATACTTCGATAATAGTTTCTTAATTACTAAATCTAAAATATTTCTTAAAATGAACAATATTTTCCTTTTTTTGTATTTTTTTTCAACCCTTTTTTTGTTATCTTAAAATAATAATAGGGAAACATTTTGTAGGTTCAATTATATATTTCCTATTTATATTTAATCCATTGTCAATCTGCTTGTTAAAAGTTTAATACAACTCTTTTTTATATTCAGTTAAATTTAATCCTCAAATATTTGACTCGAAGTTTATAGTGACTATCTTAATCAACTCACCTATGCAAAAGCTGGCTCCATAACATTTTTTAATATATATTATTATAATCCAGTAATTATATTTAATTGCATTAAAAATGAAGAAATATATTAAATTAAAGATGAAGTTACAAGTTTAATCATTAAATATTTAGAATAACATAATAGATATATAAACTCTATGGTGCCTTTAAACTTTAAATCTGGTATATGATAGGTGCTTAAAATTTAAATTTTGTATTTAGTAAGCTCCTGACCTATGATATTTTTCAAAATTCACGGATCTATTACATACAAAATTAAAAGTTTAGAGCTTATTTGGTAACATTTCTATTTCATGTTAATTATTTTCTATTCTCGATTTTTGAGAAACATTTAGAAAAATGTTTACAAATTTTGGAAATAACAAAAATATGTTCTTTTTCTTTTCCATTTTTTTTTCAAAACACATAAAAAACAATTATATTTTTCTTTGATTGAAAAGAGAGAACAAGAAACAAAAGTTCATATATCTATTACATACAAGATTAAACACAAAAGTGAAAGTTCAGATATTCATTAAACACTTCTTAAAATCCAGAAACTTATTAAACACAATCTTGTAAACTCGTAATTGGACTAATTATCTAGAATTTGACACAAATAGCAAGAGAAAAGGTCGTCAAGATGAACATAACTCAACTAATTAAGACAACTATTTTCGACCATGCTCCGTTCACCCACATATTATCCTTAAAAAAAAAGAGAACAGGCTATTGGGATTTTTTTTTATTTTTTTATTTTTTGCAAAAAACAAAAAAGGGCGATAGGATTTTGTTAGAGGGTGGGAAACCGAGGAAGAACAAGAAAGACCACGACCACTACCACAACTAGAATCGCACCAGGTCCTTTTCCCTCTGCGCTTGCAAATCGTTGGATGCGAAATTAGAGAACAAAAAATAATAATAATAACAAAAAACAAAAAACAAAAAACAATGAAACAAAATTCTCAAACTTCCTCCAATTCCATCATCATTCCATTTCCTCTCTCTCTAAACTCCATACTCTTTTCTTTCTTCTTCTTCTTCTTCTTCTTCTTCTCTCCTCAACCACCATTTTCTCTCTCTGCTTGCTTCTTCCTCCCTCCAAAGCCAGCCAATCCAAGAAACTATAAAAAAAATAAATAAAAAAAAATCCAAAAAGGAAAAAAAAAAGTGATGATACTCACGTCTCACCATCCCAACCCCTTCCTTCAATCCAACTCCACTCCCAAATCTCGGTTTTCCGTAGACCCAAATTAACCCCCATCAATTTCATTTTTGTTTTCTTTTCGAAAAAGGGTAACCAAAATCGAAGACCAATTCCTCTTTACCCAATCGATTTTCCATTTCCCCCCTTTTAATAAATGGCAGATGTTCTCCAACGATCCCCATCCCACTTCCCTTCACCTTCAAGCTCTTCCGCACCCAATGATGGTCCGCACCCACATGCCATTAATATCTCCACTCCCTCCATAAACCACTGTGTTCAATTCCATCTGGATTTTTCAGAGGAAGAAGAAGAAGAAGAAAGCGACAGAGAGGGAGAGGGAGATCAGCTGTCCCTGTTGACGTTTTTGGTCGCGGCTTTTAGGAAGTCTTTAATTGGGTGTAGAAGTACTAGTGGTGGAAGCGCTAGAGCGGCTGGGAAGCTCTCTTCGATGGAAATTGGATGGCCTTCTGATGTTAGGCATGTTGCCCATGTCACCTTCGATCGCTTCAATGGCTTCCTTGGCCTCCCTGTTGAGTTTGAGCTCGAGGTCCCTAGGCGAGCTCCTAGTGCAAGGTCTTTAATCTCTAACCCATTTCTTGATTTTTGTAACTTTTTTGATTAAACATCAGTTTGTGGGAATTCTGCTTTTGTAGTTAGATTTTGATTAGATTACAAGGTTGTTTCTGTGTTTCGTAAACTTTGTGTGTGCATATTGCTTTGGTTCTCTAAGAAAAGCGTCCTGAATGATTGGAAGGATCAATGAAGATTGGTCGTCTCGTCTGCTAACTGTTTCTCCGTATTCAATTGTATAGGAACGATAATTGTATTGTTTTGGAAGTTTTTTTTTTTTGGGAAACTTTTTGGGAAACTTTTTTTTTTTTTTTAATATCCTTTTTGTCCCTTTGGAGTTCAATTAGATTTATGGAAGGATCTAATTCGTATGAAGTTGGCTTAGGGGAGAATGGTCAAATCACTTTGCAGCATATTCTGTTTTTGACATTCTGGTGACAATCTATGATTTTCTATGAACTTCGAGATTTCACTTAAGGACGAGCTAGTCGATGTTTTCATAGACTTACCGAACTCGTGCGTGAGTTTTGTATTATATTTTGTTTATGTAATTTGATGATTAACTTTGAGATGTTTTTTCCAACATGGAATGTAACTTATTGCTTCAATGCAGAACTGGCCTATAACAGATTATAGCCATATTTTTTAAGAATTGAAGTAGTTGTACTTTGTTTGCTCATGGTATTCCTCTATGTTTTTCCTCGAAACAACTCGTTTCTCCAGTTTTGGCGCTTTGTTCCATTTTTAAGGTAATCTATTTTACTTTGTTTGGTTCCTTCAGGATTCTATGATTGTGATAGTTGTCTGATGATTTACTTTTGAAAATGATGCATTTCTGAACTTGCTCTTATAGGAAAGAAAGCTTGAGATCTGATGCTTATCTTCTACTATTACTACTAGTGATTTAATATCGTCGCCTGTCAGTCCTTTTGACTATGAAAGCTTTTATCTGCAGTGCAAACGTTTTCGGCGTTTCTACAGAGTCAATGCAGCTTTCATTTGATTTGAGAGGAAACAGCGTCCCCACAATACTCTTGTTAATGCAGAAGCACTTGTATATTCAAGGAGGCCTGGAGGTATCTAGCATGTTTTGATTTCTTTTACACGATGAATTGGTGATAAAAAGTGTTCTGGGATTTCGTTGGTCATTTGACTGTTTCGGGTAGACGCTGAATTATGGATCTTAAACCTGTAGGCAGAAGGAATTTTCAGGATTACTGCCGGGAACAGCCAAGAAGAATTCGTTCGGGATCAGTTGAATCGAGGAGTCGTACCTGATGGTGTTGATGTACACTGCTTGGCAGGTCTCATTAAGGTACTACATGGTTCATGACTAATGTCAATTTTTGCTTCACGAGCTTTATTATGTTATGCTATCATTAACCGCTGTTAACCGTCATCCCATGCTTTGATTTTCAATACTTCACATTCGTCTCTTAGAAATAGTCCAGTGAATAGAATACTGAGATGAGTTTGTGTTTGTCATAATCATATGGTGATTTTGTAGGCCTGGTTTCGAGAACTTCCGACTGGTGTGTTGGATTCCCTCTCACCGGAACAGGTGATGGAGGCGCAGACCGAAGAGGAATGTGCTGAGCTAGCGAGGCTCCTTCCCCATACAGAAGCTGCACTGCTTGATTGGGCAGTAAACCTGATGGCTGATGTTGTACAGTTTGAACACCAGAACAAGATGAACTCGCGGAATGTCGCTATGGTCTTTGCCCCGAATATGACCCAAGTGAGTGAACATTATATAAATTATGAATGACATGTCCTTAATTCCTTGTCTCAAGTTCAGAGTGGTTTTTAGATGATGAAAAGGCTGGTTACTTATGTTCCGAAAGACCATAGCTTATGCTAAATTTCATTTGATTGGATGCTGCTGCCTGTATTGTTATTCATTAGTAACTGCTCTCTCCGTGTTTAAATTGTATGAGGTTAGATGCATTATTACCATTTTCTTTGCACCCGTGCCTAATTGTATTGTATTTGCTTGGAGATGAGTCTCTGATTTGCTCGGGATCGAACACGATACCGAAAGAGTGTGCAACTTGAAGTGTAATAGTTCTCATCTATTCTTGCAGATGGCAGATCCGTTAACTGCCTTGATGTATGCAGTCAAAGTGATGAATTTCCTCAAGACTCTCATTGAGAAGACACTAAAGGACAGGGAAGATTCGGTCGTCGAGTCAGCCCCCATTTTGCGCCTAAACCCATCGGACGAGGATGGGCACCAAAGTGCATCGCAGTCGTATCAAGACGAACAAAATGAGGCCGGGGATGACAAAACTGAAGATGAACAAATATTTGTTACTGAAGAACCTGCACCTGAGAGCCGTCCACTTCCCAGAGAAGATAATTGTACAGCTGAAACTGGGTCACAAAATCTCCTGTCTTCAATTGAAAACATCATTCCAGGGGCAAGCCAATCAATAGTCAACAACTGTCCCTGCGAAATCGTATCGGAATTGAACTGTTCGGTAAATGAAGAACAGGAAACTGGTCTCGTCTGCCAAGTTGGGACGGGTCGAAGTTGCCGAAAGAGTAGCCTCGATCGATCTAACAGTTCGAATCTGAAGAGAGTCACCACCAAGAAGGCGAATGAGCCAGTGTCAGTGAAGGTTCACACAGCAGGTGCTGCACAGAAGGGCAAGAAAACTGGAATCGTCGGGCGGTTGAATTCGAGGACGGAGCTAGCTGAAGCTTGGCGTTGAACGGATCGGATCGGTATTACACGGGTCGTGTATGGTTCTCTCTCTTTCATTTTGTGCTGGTGGGGAGTGATGATAACTGTTTAAAATATGGCCTTTTGATTTTGTTGGTGTTGAGAATGGTGTGTATGATCAGTTTATCTATACATTCAAATGTTCCTGGTTGCAGTTCCTTGACCTTGTATTTGTTGAGTACAGCCCTGACTAACATATTCTTTATTTCTACCTTTTTCTTTCCATTTCCTTAGATCCCTCAATACTACTCACTGATCTTTCTCTAACTTCACACCCTTTCTCCCTCGCTCTATGTTGAGTCGGTTCGGTTTTCGAAGGTATAAAATTAAAAAAGAAGTCAGTTGGCTGACCAATTAAGATAAATTTTGTCGTTCTCAGTCAGTTCCGTTCGATTTTAGTTGGTTTAGCGATTTGGGACTCGATTCAACCTTCAAATTGTTAGTTGTATAAGAATGTGAAGAGATAGACTCCTCAACCAGCGCTGCGTTTTAATGTTGCTTTGTCACTCTATGTGGAGACTCACATTTACTAACTTTAAAATTTGCTGTTTGATGCCTTTTTCCTTAATGTACTAAAAGAAAGATGAAAAGAATGAGAGTGGATAGATGAAGGTGAAGAATTGAAAAAAAAAAGAAGAAGAAGAAGAAATGAAAATTGGAGGCATGACCAAATCTTAGTTGACATTAAAACAAATTATTTAATAAGATAGTTTTAGATAAAGCTTTTTGAGAACCAGAAGAAATAATTATATATATATATATATATATATTTGCGTACAAAGTAGAAAATAAAAAATAGTTATCATATATATAAGATTTACATACTTCAACTTGTTAAGATATATATCATCGACTAAAAGATCGTAGCCTCGAATATCCACAATAATTTGTGCAAGGAAAACCCTATACTTTTAGTTTTTTGGTTTCATTTTGGTCCACGTACTTTTAAGATATACATTTTTTCTTATACTTTTAATTATTGTCAATATATTTCTTAAAATGTAGTCATAACTTTCATTTCAACTTTATATTAAAGAATTTACGTTGCGTATATAATTTGTGTTATGCAACCAAAAATCAAAATTGTCATTTTTTAGAAGGGCAAGAATCAAAATCAAATATTTCAAAATTATTACTTTGTGTATATAATGTGTGGTATGCAAACAAGAAAAAAAATGATTACTTTTTAAAAATATAAATACCAAAACAAACTATTTGAAAGTATAAATATTAAAATAATTTAAATTTTTAATAAAATGACTAAAATGAACAGTTTAGAGGTAGCGACCAAAATGAACAAAAGTTGAAATCACTAAAACCAATACCTAATTTAATCCATTAAATATTAAACGCGAAAATAAGAAGAAAATCTTAGTTTTGTTTTTTAACTAAAAAACAGCAAAACAGGGAAATCTGAACGGCATTCACGGGCGCCGTTGACGGTTAATAAAAGAAAGTCGTTTGTGGTTGGTAGTTAACGACATTTCAGCGTATAGATAGTCTCCACGTGTCACAGTAACACTCAACGTAAATGAGATTAAAAGACCGAAGCTGTGAAGTTTGTTTCTCGTTTCTGTTTTCTGCAACTTCGAAGAAGAAGAAAAAATAAAAAAAGAAAAAAGAAAAATAAAAATGGCGAGCCCAGGCGGAGATGGCGGAGTTTCTGATGCTGCAGGTTCACCGTTTCCGGCTGCGGACGTCGACAGAGAATTAAACCCCGGCCATAACAGGCACGTTGAAGTCGATCCTGTTTCCTCTGAAGTTGCTGTATCTTTGGAAAAAAAGGTATATTAAATCTTTTCTCCGGATCAAATTACTACTCACCCCTTCAACGTTTTGGTTATTTCCATTTAGTCCTTATAAATTCTTTACATTTCAAGATCGGGTTATTCTAGTTGTTGTACTTTAAAATTTTCTAATAAATTCATAAATATTTTATGGTCCTTTGACTATATTACGCATTTAGATTCATTAAACATAAAATTGATAATTCTTATTTTGTGTATAACATGTAGGAGTAAAGATTCGAACTCTTAAACTTAGGATTAGATACACGTCCTTCAATCCATTGAGTTATAGAGAGTAAATAGAAGCAATTCAATATTTTATGTAGCATGATGAATATATAATTTAAAGCATACGATTGATGTGAGTAGAAATAACTAAGTATCGTTTGATGACCATTTCGTTTTTAGTTTTCTATTTTTAGAATCAGACCTGTTTTTTACAATTTCATTAGTATTTTTCTATATTTGAATTATTTGCCAAATTTCAAAAACAAAATTAGATTTTCGCAAACTAATGGGTGTTTGTGAGTAATTTTTAGGAGCAGGCGAAGAGGAAAGCGGTGGAAGAAGAACGAAAGGAAGCAAAGAAGAACGATACGATGAAGACATTGAAGACAACGTTCATCGTCTCCGGCGTGATCGCGGCGGTGGCAGTGGCGGCCTTCGCCATTGTTAAGAAATTACGGGAGAATTGATCCGTTCTGAGACTTGCCTCCTCCCTCGCTCTTCTCTAATTTTTCTTTTTCCCCCTTTTTCTTTTTTTTGTTTATTTTTTGACTTTTTCTGCTGTGTGTTTGTTTCCCGGGAAAAAAAAAAGATGATGTTGAGAAAATGATTTTCTTTCGTTAGAATATCAGAAGGAGAGATATTTTTATTTTATTTGTCCATATATATTATAGACTTGAATTCCTTCAATTTGTATCATGTTTTGTTCATTTTATTTTTCATCTTTTTCCATTTAGGTTATTTTCAAATTTTAAAGTCGAAGGAAACTTGAATTTCTACTAGTGAATGAATCATGTTCAATAATTAATGAAAACTATATATTATGTCCTCTGTGTAAGATACGATGCTTGCATAATGATTTGTAAATGAAATATAATATTTTACCCTTTAAAACACATAGGATAAATTTAGGTAAATAATATAATATGAACGTATATTTTATCTCATCTTAGCTCAATGATTAAGACACCATCTTTAATTAAAGAGTTTCAGATTTACACACGTATTATTGAACTAAATTAAAAAATAATACAAAACACAATAATGAAGTCAAATTCAATTACAACATTTTATAAAATACACATTAAATATGTTTATATATATTTATATATTTATCGAGTACATTAAATCTATATTACATAGTGAAAATCTTGTTTTTGTCTTTTTATTTGGTCTTTAGAAATATTAATTAATAGAATTTAAGATTTATTGTGATGAAATGAAATTGAATGAACCACTCCGTAAAATGCAGAGGCCATAGCCAACCACCATTTCTTCGCGCGCTTTCTGAGAAAATCAACGAAAAAATGTGCATCGCTCTGCAATCTTCTATGTTTCTGCCAAGAAACCGGAATCTCCTCTTCAATCTCAAACCAATTTCTCTCCAGTTCGCCAGATTCGCCCCCAAAATCGCAAATCTTCCTCTCAGGACGAAGCCATTCGCATCCAAGTCCTTCAATTCCACCAGTTCCTCCACCTTCGAACATCCTCAACCCCAATCGCATCGACCTGTTCTTCGCAGTTTCCAGACGTTCAAATCTCTTATTCCGTATATTATCTCTCAGCGTAAACATATTCTTGCTGGTTGGCTCTGTAGCGTTGTCTCGGTTTTCTCCCTGTCCCTTCTCGTGCCTAAGATTGGGAAATTTTCTTCTATTATTGACAAGATCGACCCCATCAAGTTGTGGGATGAAGGTCTGGTTCTAGGATTTTTGGTGTTCGCTCGTTTCGTTGCGAGCTACTGGCAAGAAGCGTTTATTTGGGATGCGGCGTTGAGTGCGATTTACGAAATTCGTGTTCGTGTTTTCGAGAGAATTCTGGCAATGGACTTAGATTTCTTTGAAGGTGGTGCTGGTGTTTCCGCTGGTGATATCGCTTACAGGATCACTGCCGAGGCCTCGGATGTCGCTGATACTGTATATGCCCTCCTCAATGTGAGTGTTTAGAGCTCGAAACCCGTGTCTATAAATAGAATCTTCATCAATTGGATGTAAATTATAATGAACTGTTATAAATTGAATGTATTAGAAATGGAAATTTAATCATTTGGTTCTTAACTTTTTAGTTTTTATTTGTAGCTTCATTTATATTACAGACCGTCGTGCCCAGTACGCTGCAGTTATCAGCCATGGCGATCCGAATGTTGGCTATTAGCCCTGTCCTATCCTTGATTTCAGCTATGGTAAGAAAAGAAAACTTCCAGATTATCTTGTTTCAAATGTTCCTTTGCACTTTGCAGAATCTTCTCAGGGGAATCTATGGTGAATCTTGTTAGGTTATTCCATGCGTAGCTCTCGTCATTGCCTATCTCGGCGAGAGGCAATTCCAAATATCTACAATGGCGAGTCTAAGCGTTGCTAATCTTTCATCCTATCTAAATGAGGTATATATTAATCACTAAACAATATACTCGACCTCAATCATATTTCGTCACCAATTGTGAAAGTCTAAATCTAAAATCATGTTTGTGAATTCACTTCTTAAGTCCTAATATTCATCTTTTTGAAGAAAATCTTTCTTCTTTTACCTGGTAATAAATTGGATCTTCATAACTAGCTTTCTGGGTCAAGGAGTTACTGTTGTTAAGAACTTATTTCCTATTTAGATCTAGTTGTGACTTATCTTTGTGATTATGCAATAGGTCCTCCCAGCATTTCTATTTGTAAAAGCAAACAGCGCAGAGTTTTGTGAGCATGCCAGGTTTCAGAGGCTTGTTCGCATTGACCTGTATAAACGTCTCAAGAAGAAAAGGATGAAGGCACTTGTACCTCATATTGTACAAGGTCTATATTTTGTGTTATTGTCAATGCTTTGTGTTGGTTTGCTGTTGGTTTCGAAAGGTTCATTTAGTAGTGGTGGCATGGTTTCATTTATCACGTCATTGGGATTTCTCATCGAACCAGTTCAGGTGATACTATGTTCTGACAAGAACCTCTGTATGTATTTTTTATTCTGGGCATTGATTTTATTTCTTTTCTTCCTTGATTGAGTTTAGTGTCTGCATAAGTTTCAAGTTCAATCTTCTGAATATAACAATCATACAGAAAATTGGAAAGGCATACAATGAGTTAAAGGAAGGAGAACCTGCCATTCAACGCTTGTTTGAGTTGATTGAGTTCAAACCTACGGTAAATTTCTAATTGATGTTAAATTTATGTTTAGAAATAATTCTTTGATTATTAGTTTATCATTCCTAATAATATATTGATTAAATGATGACTTTATGGGCTTAAAGTTGGAGGCAAGCACGTTAACGACTAGAAAGTTTTATGAACGAACTTTTCTCATTTTTAGGACGGTTGAGACTACCATCAGTATAGATTAGTATTTTTCCTAAATGTGATCTTCATTGTTTTCTTACATTCTTGCAATATGTTTGTTAAAATGTTTCTTTTCAATATTGTCGGTTGACGTGGATGTCAAAATGATTTATCCTTTCTATGGTGCAAAGTCAACTTTGTTTAAACGTCACAAATTCTGAAATTCTCTTTCCATATCACTAGTCCTATTCCATAAAGATTCTTTTTACGTTACTTGATCAGCTTTCTACAAATTTAATTAATGGATGGAGCATTTTGATTTTTGATCATAGGTGATTGAGAAACGTGATGCTATTGATTTAAACCGTTTAAAGGGGGAGGTAAAATTTTGTAACGTCTCATTTGCCTATGGAAGAAATATGCCTCTTGTTTTAGATGGATTGAACCTCCACATCAAAGCAGGAGAAACAGTTGCTTTCATGGGACCTTCTGGAGGGGGAAAGACAACACTTGTTAAATTGCTTCTTCGCCTTTATGACCCGTTATCTGGTAAACTATTTATATCATAGTTATTAGTTCTACTTCTTCAATTTCCGTTTTACAAAAGTTTCCTTTCTTGTTCAAGATTTTTCCTTCATTCTTTTTGTTTTTGTCTCACACATGCCTTAACTTTTTCATGCCATGATGTTGTTCTTTCTCCGAATAGGTGATATACTCGTTGATAACCACAATATCCGGACTGTTAGTTTTAGTAGTTTGCGGAGAAATGTTGGTCTCGTTTGTCAAGACATGGTGAGTGATTGGTGATTACTTGTTCATACATCTTTTGTGATGCAACCAAAAGTTTACTGTATCTCATAGCTGCATAGTCCTTGTTACGTGGTAATAGCATGGGTTACTACTTTGTGAATGGTTATTTTATAAACAAAAATTGACTTCCAATTGGAATGACAGGAATGTTAGTGAAACTTCTTAAAGTTTTAAAGTTCCCCGACTAAAATTTGAATTTAACCAATTTCATTATACTGACCGACCCTGAAGGATCTTGACAGTGCCCTCTCAGGTTGTTGTTGTAACAGTGTACCGACGGTGCCCTTTGTTCAATGCTTGCTTGATTATATTTTAATGCATTCAAGTAATCATTGGTTGCAAAGAAGGAAATACATCGTATAATTGTCAAAGGTTGTCTTGATCAATTATATAGACATTTTGTTTTTGTTCTCAGATCCTTTTCTCTGGAACAGTAGCTGAAAACATAGGATATTATGATCTGACGAAGGAAATTGACATGGAGAGGGTTGAGGAAGTGGCAAAATTTGCAAATGCAGATGAGTTTATCAGAAGGTTACCAAAAGGATACTCTACATATATCGGACCAAGGGGCTTAACGCTGAGTGGAGGACAGAAGCAGAGGCAAAAATTCTAATTAACTCAATTATCATGGCATACCTCTATCTAGTTTGTTTTATGGTTAAACTTACCTGCCCTTCCGTATGGCAGACTAGGCATTGCAAGGGCACTCTATCAAAATTCATCTATCTTGGTCTTGGATGAGGCAACTTCTGCATTGGATAGCATGTCCGAGTTACTGGTCAGACAAGCTTTGGAGCGCCTGACGGAAAATCATACGGTAAGAATCTTAGCTTATTTATTGAATGATTATCTAGATTTTTTTCCTTTGTTGAGATTGTGTATTGAAGCTAAAATATTTGTGAAGTTCACACAAGCATGTATATCTGAAATGGTCAGATCATGGAAATTAGATGGCGTTGGTGTAAAATAATCGACGATTTTGGGGTCTTATTCCTATCACGAGCTTGTAGGATGGAAATGATGTGGCTGAAATCTCATCATTCATTCGTAAGGAAATATTGTGGTTTATTCATATCATAAAATATGAATGATAAGAACTAGCATTTAGGTGCGAACCTTTAAGGAAGAAAATTTATGGACAGTATTTACAAACATATATCGGTTATTGGGAAAAAATCTATATGCTTCTAATGCCCAATTGAGATGATGAAAATGAACTAGGATAGAAATAAAGCATTATGCTGAAATCTTCTTTGAATAGTATCGAGATGGCTCCCTAAAGAGGGCAAAAGAATGGGAACTATTGATCTACATCATCCTTGACTTTGTCCAACGTGTTGTGCAGAGATTTTAATTAGTCATTTGCTGTATTATCAAAATTTATTTTATACACTTCAGATATTTTTACATGACAATTCTTGAAATTACCAATTTATTTATTAGTATTGTTTTTTGGTTTGAGAATAACTATGGTTGGCTTTTACAAGGTTGTAGATAGACAAAACTTAAAAGTAAGGGGGAAATTTCCCTAAAAGACAATCAACAGGGTATTTTTATAGTTTGTCATTCTTGCAACTTTCTTCTCGTTTTGTTTTCAGCTTCACATTTCCCTTGATTGCATACAATATTTTTACCAAGTATATAGGTACTGGTAATTGCTCATCGATTGGAAACAGTTCTGATGGCGAAACGAGTGTTCATTTTGGACAATGGGAGGTTGCATGAGCTACCTCGCTCCGCTCTTTCGGGTAGTAACCATAACTCATTGCTGAAGACTGGGCTGGTGATTTGAGCACCATTGTACCGCTATCGTGCTCCAGAAGATGCGCGGTTCAGTTTCTCTTTTGCATCTAAAGAATTGCAGGAATTGGTCAAAGTGAAATATGCATCTGTTGGTTAAAAAAGAAAAGCATAATGGAGGAGGCAATGCCATGTCAAGGAAAGGGATTCAAGGTCGTCCATTTGTTTCGGGTACATGAAACTTTAGTTCATTTACTATCAACCTTTATAGGTGGCAGTATTTTTGTAGAACTTGGAAAGATGCTAATAAGTTTCAAATTAGAATCTTCAAACTTTGGGGTTGTAATTACTGCGATTTATTATACTTGTATAATGCATCATTGAATAGGCGACAGAACTCGGCGTTCTCTTGTGTGGTTGAGTGAGAACGGTAAGCTTCAAGTTCTTTTCTATCGTCGTTTTTAGAATTGTTACAAGTTCTTGAAGAAATGATAAGTGTTTTATCTTTTGAAACTTGTCAAAACTGTGCTCAAAAGTGGTCCAAGGAGGAAGAAAATAATTAATATCGAAGGAAACTTCGCTAAAAAAAATTAAGCATTTAAGATCATAAAGCCGAATGGGCAGATAACTAGAAATTATAGCGGTTAGATGATTAAAGTTGAAAATTTTAAAATTTGGAAATAGAAAATGAGACACCAAAATCAAAGTTTTGATAGCCAACAAATAGATTAGTTTTTTAAAAAATAACATTAGAACTGATAGCGTTTTAGCTTTTATCCATAAAAAAAGGGGCCTCCGTTCCCGTCCCAAGGTCCAAAGTTGAGAGACGTAAATATTTTATATATTAAGTCCATCCAAAGGTCTGAACACAAAACATCGTGACAGGTTACCACAAGGCATCCAAAGGTCTGAACACAAAACATCGTGACAGGTTACCACAAGGYTCTGGTGGAATTGTCTTTGAAGGCATAATAATTTCATTTTGAACTCTCTATAATGTTTCAAATTTCTCAAGAACGTATTTGATTTTTTAGTTAAATCTCTGAAAATGTTTTTCTTTTTAGTTTCTAAACTTTGGACTTAAATTTTGAAACGAAGATAGAAACAAAACAAATTAATACCGATGTAGATCAAGTTTAATTTTTAAAAATTGAAAATTTAAAACATAGCGTGAAAGGGTTTCCAAATGAGACTACTTTAAGAATTAAAATAATTTAAACAATATCTATATATATATATTTTTATTGGGGCTTTGTCATATAAGAAATTTATGAAATCACGAAAATGAGAAAAAGTTTACCGTCCTTTGCTTGCTCGCGTGAGCGCGTCTCCACCGTCCGATGAAAGAAGACGATCTCTCGCTTGATCTCTTTATAAAGCTGCCTCTCTTCTCAACACACCCAACTCGAAACTTCAATTTTGCCGCTTTCAAAAACCCGCGCTCTTTTTCTTCTCTATCTCTCGCGGTTCGATCGAATTCTTTCCATTTCCCTCGAAGTCTGCAATCGCTGAATCGGGTAGCGTAGTTCAGTTCTTTTGATTCTCCGATCGAGTATTTTGCAAGTTTTTTCTCCTTGTTTAGTTCAGTTTGTTAGATTGAGGTGCACGATGAAATTCCTCTGATTCTTCACTTGTCTCTTCGTGTTTGTAACCAATTGAGCTTGTATTTGTTTTTTTGGAATCAAATTATGCGTAGATGATGTATGTTTTGAGCGGATAGGGTCAAATTCTATTCGCTGATTACGGCGTGGGCTCCTTCGTTTGGTTCTTTAAGAAAGTAGAGCATGAGAAGTGAGAACACCAAAGTAAAGATGAAAATCGTTTTTATACAGTCGTGAAGCTATGTTAAGGGCAATAGATTCAAAATAATCCGCAGGCAGTGACCATTATGCATATTCTTACTGTTATAATTATCTCTGCATTCAGAATTTTTTAAACGAGTGTCATTGATATTAGATAATTGAATTTTGAATACGTTGCAAACAGTTCAAATATAACACTCAAGGTAGACCTCCTCCATTAGGTTATTGTTATGGTAAAGTAAAGTACTAAAGGAAAGCTGTCTGTTAGTTATATAAACGCCACCAGAAAATTTGTGCTGATTTGGTGTTAATGCCAAACAATTTCAACATTCTTTTTTTATTAAATGTTGGTTCTCTCTGAAAGGCATCCTTCATGGTGTTTTGTATAGATGGATACATCAAACCCTTCAGTTTTTGTGAATGCTGAGCTTTTACGCCTGTATGTTGGGAGAAGAGTCCGGGCAGTGATTCAGGTTCAGTCTGAAGGCAATGGAGTCATATATGGTAAATCGACTGACGACAACCAGATTATTGTGAAAGGCTCTCCACCATTTTCTCTTTCGAAGTTTGTTGAGGTCATTGGAATTGCTGATACTGACAAATCGATTCGACCTGATGTATGGACCAATTTTGGCGACTCATTTGGTATGCTCTCTTCTTCGCCCATTGTTATTCTCGAAGGACATTTGAAGCTGTATAGCACTAGTGCATCATACATGTCATCTGAAGTTCATTTATGTTCTTTGAATTGGCTGAAGAGGATCATTAATCATGTTTTCAGATGATAGATTATTTCAAAAGCACTACTGTATCATGAATTGATCTTTTGTTAAAGGGCCTAGTTAGATCTGGCATTTGAGATCTCTGAAACATAACCTGGCCAAATCATTAGTTTCAAGTTCATTTTACAATACCTTGCAGTTTATCTCAGTTGTAATATATAAGCTGTGAATCGGTTATTTAGATCCATTTGATAATGATTTTGTTTTAAATTTTCTGTTTTTAAAAATGATGTCTACTTACTCTCAATTTCTTTGAGATGTATTTCACTTTCTTAAATACAAGGTTATAAAAACTGCGGGGTTATGATACGGGTCTTAGTATCTAACCTTCATTTTTTCAGGTTGGAGTATAATCAGTACAAGCTAGTTCATGGATTCTTAACAGTTAGTTTCACCTTTGTATTTAATTATTATTATTTTTTTGTACGATGAGCCTCATAGAGATCTGCCAATAATGAAAGCATAAATTGTAGCATCCTCTAAGGGTTGTGCCTTCAACATTTTATCAAGTAGCATTCTGAACTATTTTTTATCCTATTGGCAGATACATCTACCTTCAATCAACTATGTCAACTTGCTAATGGGGAGTTCAAACCCTTGTTTATCTGATAATCTAGCCAGACATTCTTTGGCAAGAAGGCTCAAGCCCTACCTTCCCCTACTGTGACACGCTAAGTTGCTAATGTTTTCTTCATGCGCTTCAGAATCTCCCGAGATTTATCGTTCATATGGTAGAAAACTTTTCAGGTAATGGACATATAAATTTTAAATCTGCATTGTATGTTTGTGTTAGAATATGTTAGAATGAACATTGACTCGAAAAATTCATTAAAAATCTATTTTAATCAACTTTGTTCGTTGCATTTTGGGGTTATAAGCCTTTGTCAACGTGGAAAAACTGCTAACCAAAAAGCCGAAACACTATTTCCTTATCTCAGTTTATAGAAATTATATGTTGAATAGTACCAGGTGTTAGAGCTTTTCCTCTCTGTTCTATCCTATAAAAATCTTCTCTATAACTCCTTTGAGACTTTGGGTTTAAAAGTAGTATATCAATTGAACGCATTGGACCAGGTAGAATTTTGTTTAACTTTTTAGTCATTTTGTTTAGATAAGTGATTTCGAACTGTGATCCTTAAGCTATATTTTGATTGATTTTAAAAATGATTTAGTATACTTTATTTGTTTGCTCCATCAATTTTTTTGGTATGCCAACTAGTAACTAGTAACTCGTGTCAAATATTAGAAAATAATGCAAATAGCAAAGACTTAAGAATGAAAATCGRAGGTTTAAGGATATATAAAGGTTTTTTAGAACATTGAAATTTCATGGATTAAACAGACACCACCATTTAAACTCGTACATAGACCAAATTTGTAATTTAACATTTTTTACCTTTTATAATTTTGCATATTTTAGACTAAACGTGTTGTGTATTTAAAAAAAAAAAACACTTATATAATTGTTAAATTAGTTGAAAATAGGGAAAAATATTTAATTTTTACTCTTGGCTTGTTATGGTATAATCATTTTTACTCCAAACTTTTAATTTCATTAAAGTTTTCAATTTTTACCTTAAACTTAAAATAATGTTTGCAGTTTTTGTTTTTCACTTGAATAAGTACTGTGGTTTTTATCGGTCCTGTAGGTTTTCGTTTGGGAAAGTCTTTAAAACAAGTATTCGCAATTAATTATGAAATATGTTTGGTATGAAATTGATAGAACTTTAGACAAAAGAATTCTTTTTATTGAATTTTAGTAGGGTTGTTTAATAGTTAATTTTGCATATTGGTTCAATTTAATTTCGTGCCAAGCGTGTTTTTTAGTGAAATTATAGAGTTTCTACAGATTTTTACATTTTTTGTTTATTAAAATTAGCATCAACAAATTAGAAGTAAAAATTGCAATATTTATCTAGCCTAGGATCTAGTTTGATGAAATTGAAAATTCATGGTTAAATAGCATTTTGGCTTTTCGGTTAGCAGTTTTCCCTAAGTTCTTGTGAAAGTTTTATTTTTCCTTCAATATTATCAGTCGAAATGAGAGGGTTGCAACATCCAAAAATGTTAATCTACTACTATACCTTTTTAATATAATAATGATGATGATAATTTAATTTTTTTTTTTTAATAAGGATGTTTTTTTTTTTTTGGACAAAATAAGAATGTTTTAAAATAACAATAACTATTATGAAGCAATTTTCATATATTAGGTTAAACACAACTTAGGTGTAAATGCAATCATCTATCCTCCATCTTAAGTCAAATTTTTACCCCGGCATTTGTAGTAAAAAATATCTTTTCAAAATTGTTATCTAATAAGTCAAGTTAAAGTGCCATCAATTTATAATCAATCACATCAATATTAATGAGCACGTCAATATAAATACAATATTGAAGTCAAAATAAATCATCGTGTTAGGATGAACTAGTTTAAACAATAAAAAAAAACCAACAAAACACAGGTCCTAAAACTAACTTTAGAGCCCATTTCCAACACTTGAAATAAGTTTTTAAAAAGAAAAAAAAAGGGGGAAATTTTCTAATTTTCCCTGAAAAGCCCCAAATTGTCAAATTTGGTGAAATTTCAAGAACAAATAGGGCACTGAATCAACCCATTTTCGTTACACTCACCACATTTGATCGTCTTCTTCTTCGTCTCATCCAAAACTTTACAGCTTCCATTGCAATCCACACACATCACGAACCTCACGCCGCCGCAGCCTTCGCACCCGCCGCCACCGGCCGCCGTCGGAATCCCCTCGAACAGAACCCCCAACTTCCCCTCCTCCTCCAACTTCACCACCTCCGCCGCCCCTCCGATCAGCCTCCCTCTCACAAAAACCACCGGAACTTTCACCTCCTTGCTCCCCATCAGCGCCCTCAGCTCCTCTCTGAACCCGGAATCCATGGATACGTCTCGCTCCACCAAGTGAATGCCGTAAGATTCCACGATTGATCGTACCTTGTTGCAGTCCTCGAACGTCTTCCTGATTCCTCGAAGCGTCGTCGTGTAGATCACGACGGCGGTTTCTCCGCCGGGCGGGCACCGCTCCTCGAACTGTCGGAGTGCGGATTTTGATTCTTCGAAATGTCGCGCCGCCCGAGATTTGGGCGTCTCCGAAACTATTCTCTTGATTTGTTCGCCTTCTTCGGTTAATTGTCTCTCGTACGACGCCACGAGCTCTGGATCGAACAGTGGACTCAAACTCCTCCGTCGAGCGGAGAGAATTCCCGAATCGCTTCCGAAACTCTGTCTTCTCGCCGAAATCGGCGAACTCTTAACCGGAACGCTCAATTTCAGAACCGATTTGGGCGAAATCCTCGACACATTGTTCACTTTCAGTATCTCCCGAGGGCTATAATCCAATCGTCCGATTCCGTTTCCTCTGCCACGATTCTCCTTCCCGGCGGACCGAATCGCCTTCTTCGGAGTGCCGATTTGATTGAAAAACTTCAGCGGACTTCTCCGGTCCAAATCGGCCAATCCGCGGAGAAAAGCCCTAGGTTTAGGGCTTCTCTTGGCCCGATTCGCAATCGGAATCCCTTCCTCGAGGCCGTCCATGAGCTCCCAAGCGTTAATCACTTCTGGATCTTCGCGAGGAGGCGATTTCGTCGCCGCCGCCTCAGAAACTAACTCCTTGGATCTCTGATCGGCGTCGAGATTGAGAAGGCCGTAAGTGCTGGAGGTGAGAGAGACGACGTGGTTGATGTAGTCGCCGCCATGGTTGACGATGATGTCTCTCTGAAGGTCTTTCCGGTAGAGTTTGGAGGAGACGCAGCCCATTGATGGTGCTTCTTCTTCTTCTTCTTCTTTGTCTTCGTCTTCGATTTCGATTTCTCGGAGAAACAAAAAGTTGCAGAGGCCGAGAGGGGAATGACTGAGAGTGGGGAGTTTTTCAGTTTCTTCTTTTGAATGGTAACCGTTACTGGCCTTGTCCAAACGGGCCCCAACGGTCGGAAATTTCGAAATGGGTTTTAGATGTTCTTGGGAAATTCTCCTCTCTTCGAATTTAGTCCCACGTTTTGTTTATAATATGATTTCAACCCCTACTTTTCCAACTTATTTCCACTTTTATATATATATATATATATATATATATATATATATTCTTTTCTTTTCTTTTATAATATGGTTTTAACCGACCAGCCAACGTGAACTTAACTCAGCCATAATTGGCATATACCTCCAAGTAAGAGGTTGTGAGAAAATACTTGACTTCTTAATGGTAAAAACCAAATCTTATTCTTACCACCATGTAAAAATTGACAACTCTTTATGTTTTTTAAAAATATTTACTTTTACATTTCTCTCTCCTAATTATAAAAAATTTAATGGTTGATAAGATTGAATTTTATTGTTAAGGAGCCAAATATTTTACTTTGTTTAGTATTAGTTTTTCCTCCTAACACATTTTCTTCTAACATGATATAACAATGATAAGTTGGCGTGGCCGGAACATTAAAGATAAATGGAGAACTTTTAAAATTACAAGGATGATAAGTATGGACATACTTTAACTAGCTAACGAATACTATTATTAATCAAAAGGTCGGAGGTTGGATTCTCATCCTTACCTGTTATTGAGCTAAAAAAACAATGATCAAATAGAAACTGAGCACACAGTATAAGGACTAAATTTCCTAAAAAAAAGACTAGACTGATCGTTTAACACTCCTTAAATTTGATATTTTGTCATGTATTTTCATATTTGAAACAGCAGGTTTGTGATTTTTACTTTTAAACTTTAAATTTAATCTTCAAACTTTAATAATAGTATCTATTTAATTTTTAAATTTTAAAAAATCTTTATTATGTTGGTAAGTTTTGAATTATTATTATAATACCTGTAATGTTTAACTAAATGATAATGCTGCGTGTCTATAGTAGATAAATATTGACTAATTTAGCACGTCAAATAGCAGGTGAATGCAAAAGGAAAAGGAAATTTAAACAAAATAAGTGTTTAAGGACTATATATGTTAAGGAAGAACAACCCTCTCTATTAGGTATGAAACCTTTGAAGTGAAACTAAAAGAAAAGCCACCAAAACATATAGTAGATAATATAATGTGTCTTTTTTTTTAATACGAGAGTGATTTAGAAAAAAAATTGGTAAAAGAGGATAGTTCGAAAACTATTTAAAAAAATAAAGTAGATTTTTGTTCTTTATGCCGTGATCAAGAATGCAATCACAAAGTCAAGCTAACAACTTTTTACGTGTCCCAAACTCAGAAGAATGTCTCTTTTTCATAGTCCTAACATATCATGTCATTGTGAAAATGTGGAGAGGATTCGTGATACTTAACAATCCACACTCATAATACAAAATTGAAAGACGTAATTGAAACTTTTAAAATTTCAGGAAGTCCAAATCAACATAAATATTAAAATTCACTAAATTTTTAATTCAATCATCAGGTAGTCAACATTATTTTCCAAAAGCAAAAATAATGTCCCATCAAATGTAGTGATGATAGTTAAATTAGGCATTATCAATGAATGATTCACTTGAGATAATTAATAATATCCAAAGAGTTGAGAACCTTTCCAAAGAGTACAAATAAAAAGAAAAATGTGATTAAATTACTGAAATTACATATAATTCTAATATTCTCAAAAGGGATTATACAACATTAGGTAGTTGGTCAATTAAAAATTTGAAGTATTTATTTTGACTTTACTTGCAATTGGTCTAAGCTCACCCAAATGGGACACTGATGATGGTATATATTATTATTACCCAATATTGACTATTAAAACTATATAACAAAAAGATGAAGAAAGGAGAAATTAATGTTTCTAAACTTAATTTTAAAAAACATAAATTTAAAAATAAAATTGTTATAAGACGAGGTCTTAAAAAAGTAGTTTTCAAAAGTTTGTTTTTATTTTTTAAATTTAACAAAAATTCAAATGTGTATTAAAGAAATGTGAAAAATATACCAAAGAAATTTTAAAAAACATAAAACTAAAAAACAAAATTGTTACCAAACATAACCAAAACCTACTCCTTTTCTTTCTTTGTTGAAAATAAATAAAATGACGTACCAAATATTGATTTTTATTTTCACTTCTTTTTAGTTAATTGTGAGAAAGATGGTAGAAGTATCAACCTTTGAAATAGGAATAAACATCTTATACATTAAATTTGTTTGGATTCGCTATCAAATATAGATTTAGCTTATTACTCAATAGGTAAAGCTTTTAACTCATTAATCATGATAAAATAGAACTAAAAAAACTAATAAAAATATAGTTCAACCAGTTGATATATATATATGTAACTTGAATTTTATTTATTTTTGAAATAATAATAAAAAAAACTAAAAACAAATTTTTAAAATGCCAAAAAGGGAAAAGAAACATCGCTTTCCATTTTGTAGCTCTACTAAGGCAAGGTCCAAATCAAATCATTTTAGGTGTTTTTGTTTAGGACAAAGGCTATGTATATAGGTCTTCCACGTGGTCAAATCCTATTGGTTAATTTGTCGACTTTGTCGTGAAAAAAAGGGGTATATTGAAGGCTCGTGGATAGAATTTGACAATGCTTTGACGACACATCGTCATCTTCAAGAATTTGTCTAAGGCGTAAACTAAGTGCTACGACCCGACCCATCGTTTTGTCCATGAAATTATATTCACAAAATAAGTACGAAAATAATTTTATTTTTAATTTTCAATAGGCTTATAAATTTGTTGTATCGTCTGAATTAAAGTCCAAGTTGTTCTTAATACATCAAATAAGATTGCTACTTGCGTTAAAGATATCTGTAAAAAAAAAAAAAAAAAATCCGAAAGAAAGACGTGGTCCAAGAGAAGAAGATATAAATAGTATAATATAAAAATATGTTTACAAGAAAATTTGAAAATTTGCAAAACTATCAGAACCTAATTAAAATTATATGGAATATATAACAGAATAACAGAAATTACATTTATGCCATATTAAAAAAACTGTGACATTTTTAAAAAAATATTTATGCCATGTAGTATAATTTGTCTAAGATGAAGATAAAAAAAAATCATTTTTTACCATTTATTTTATTTCTATTTAAACATAATAAATAGGATAATGTAGATTATATATAAATCCATTTATTTTAAAATTACCGAAAGCAAGCTAAAATTTTTACAGATTTTAGTCGATGATATATGTCTTTACTAGTTAAGATATTGATTTTAGTTAATTCATCAAAATATAGTAAATTTTTAATGATAAGTTGAAAGCTCACTTATTACCATGAATCAAATAGTTTAAATGAGAAATATAAATGGTCAAGGATAAGTGGATTCAGGCACTACCGTCTCATTTTAAATTAGTCCGAAAATAAATAAGTATTTTTACGCTGTAATAAAATAGCAAATTTTGCTGTTAGAAAACAAACAAATATCACGGATTTCATTTCGAAAAAGAATAATAGAAGCATAATTAATATGAAGAAGAATTATTTTGGTGTCACATGCCATCTCCTTCATTTGGTGAAAATATGAGAAATATTAGGGAGAAAATGATTGGAAATTTGAAGATAAGTTATTGGGGGAACCACATG